CAGCAAGGCTGGCTGGGGAATTCTGGGAGTTGAAGTCCACGCATCTTCAAGCTGCCAAGGTTGAGAAACACTGCTCCGGAGAAACCACGCATGCGCTACAACCTCCACAAATAAATCTAAATCCATGTTGGGCTCCCAGGTCTCTGAAGCTGGACTCTGGCTGCTGTTCACCAGAAGAAGGAGAGTTGGAGAACATCCTCTCCCTGGTGATTCCTGGACCAAGAGCCCTTCTGCCTCTTTTCCTGCAAGGAGCATGGCCTCTGCCTTCTGGGCTGAAAGCAAAGATAGCCTTTTCCTCCGCAGAGAGCAGAATTCCCGCCGACTGACTTACGTGATGAACCACGGAGAGAATCTGAAGCACCACCAGTATCGTATGAGTGATATTCTGCTTTCCCCACTGGAACTAAAGAAGGAGGAGAGAGGTGATTCCTGGACCAAGAGCCCTTCTGCCTCTTTTCCTGCAATGAGCGTGGCCTCTGCCTTCTGGGCTGAAAGCAAAGATAGCCTTTTCCTCCGCAGAGAGCAGAATTCCTGCCGACTGACTTACGTGATGAACCACGGAGAGAATCTGAAGCACCACCAGTATCGTATGAGTGATATTCTGCTTTCCCCACTGGAACTAAAGAAGGAGGAGAGAAGAAAATGCTAATCCGTGCGCACCCTCCACGTCTGACCCCTTCTCTGGGTCTTTTCAGATCACCAGGAGGGCGGCTCCCTCCCGGGCCGAACCCTTCCTGCTGCTGCCTCCCCCCACCCATCCTCTGGCAGCAAATCTCCATCTTTCACCCTCCCACGGGGGCTTTCAGTACAGGGGGGATATTAGAGGAGGGGAAGATTCAAGCAGTGCCTGCATTCCTCTCCTGTATCTCCTGTATAGTCAATTCAGCTCTGAATGCAGGAGGAATGAAGGCCTGGCAGCTAAGTGGCTGCTTCTTATTCCCAATGACCAGATAAATTCACACACTTATTGCTAAATAGGGAGGCAGAGGACACTCAACATGGGTGTTTTTTTTCACTTCTTGTGAAATTTGTCCAGGAGAGCATGGTTTCAGCCAGAGCTGCAATAGTCTAGGGGCACGAATGAATGCCACGTTTGCGTCCTTCTATGGAACAATTAGGGGTGGAAGGGAGCACGGATTAGCTCCTGGCCACCTCAGCGTGAGCCTCCAGATGATGAAATGATGAAACAGGCCTCCTGATGGCTTAACATAAACTTTTGTACATGCTTCGCAACGGAGCATGCATGGAGTAGAGCTTGGGCTGGGAGGCCCCAAGGCACATTTTCTCATTCTGACAAAAACTCTGGATTCTCCAGACACTGAATCGGAGCATCTGCCTGGGCTCCAAAGTCTGTGACGGTAGAAGCGAACCGTTTGGAAGGACTAGGACAGGGTTTCTCAACCTTGGCGACTTTAAGACGGGTGGACTTCAACTCCCAGCATTCCCTAGCCAGCAAGGCTCTCTGAGGAATTCTGGGAGTCGAAGTCCACCCGTCTTAAAGTTGCCAAGGTCGAAAAACACTGGGCTAGGGAGAGGAACGGAACATAAAGAGGGGACCTCAGCTGGCTTTAAAAAGTAGCATGGTTCACCCACACCACCAAAGCATAATGTAATTTGTTTGCTTTTGGTTTAATCTGATGCGCAAACCGCCCATGATGGTTTATTGCTGTGAGTGAAACCAAACCACTATGGCTGATTCAAGGAACTATAGTTAAAAAAAAAAAGACAAAAGCCCTGGCTTAATGTCATGTGCAAGGGCAGCCACCAGTATCTAAAAGGGTCGAACTGTCATAACTTACCATAGAATGGTCACAAACAGCGAAGTATTCTAGGTATCTGGATGGCGCATTCTTCCCAGGAAAATGTGGCTAAAATAAAGAGAGAGGCTTCAGGCGTCGAAGGCAAAACACAGGTCGGATGACAATCTCTGGGCACGTCTCCACCAGTGGTTTGCTCCTCTTCCCAGTCGGCCCCGTGCCTGATGGTTCTCACGACATGTTTAGGGTTGCGACTGGAGTCTGTTTGTTCCTGACTCTGCTCCAGTGGGTGGGGAAGCGGAGCAAAGCCAGCTTTTTCCTTGAGGGAATCTGCAACCCTCGTCAAGGGTGGCGGGAGCATTTCACGTTAGCGGGGAACCTTTGCCTCGGCCCTTCTCCTGGCTCATGCTAACCAATGCTCTCTCTTCCCCCTCCCAATGGAAGTTGTGGGAGCTGGCTGTACGAACACAAGGACGTAAGGCTTGTCCTGCCGGGTGGGACCCCTGGCCCATCTCCTCCAGCAGCCCGTTCCCCCAGTGGGCCACCAACTGCCCAAGGAAGCCCACCCGTCTCCCAGCAGAGGCCCTTCAGAGGCGGTCCCGTGACATCTGGGCTAAGAGCCACGGATCCCCAGGACTTCCACGAATCGGTCCAACCCTTTTCTGAAGCCAGCCCCACATCTCATGGTCTCTTCCTGCATGCAAATGGGGAACAGGGTTTACTTACTTATCGCTGGCCATTTACAGGGTTTAAATTCAAGCCAGACAACCAATAGAAAACCAACAGGTAGTAAAAACAAAATCACTACTCTTGGTTAACAGCAAGTCTATTGCTTGAAAGTGCTAGGATATAGCTTTTTCTTCACTGCTCCCCCCGAATGACAAATTTGGGGGTTGCATGCAACACATATAAAAAAGGGGCGGGGCTTACTGCCCTTTGGACTTTTTGGAGCCCCCCTTCCTCCCAACGGACACCCCTTTCCAAGCCCCTCGCGGTTTGCTTAGCTCCTGGAGAGCGAGGAGGGGGCTTACTACGAAGTCCTGGGGCTCTACGTCTGGGTTGTTGGCCGTTGGCAGGATGGCCCCGTGATGCGCCCACAGGCCCACGTCTTCCACAACCCCTCGGCAGGGAGGACGCTGCTCTGGAGCCCGGCGAGAGAGGAGGTGTTGAGACCCGGCAGGATTCTCAGTCGGCTGGATTTCATACGTCAGATTTTCAATCTGTATGTGTCCCCTGAAAATTTCAGAAGGAGGTTGAGGCATGACGGCAGGAGAGCGAACATCAAGAAGAATGACCCTAAAGCGGTGATTTTCGGACTCAAATGGATGCGGCTGTATTTCCAACTCACCCCAGCAGGTGGCGGTGTCTGACCAAGCTTGGTTGGGCTTAAAAAGCTAAGCAGGGTCAGATCCAATCAGGGGTTGGATGGGAGATGACCAGGAGTTGAGGTCCATCCATCTTAGTTGGCCAGGTCGAAAAACACTGGACCAGGGAGAAGAAGGGGACCTCAGCTGGTTTCCAAAAGTAGCACGGCTCACTCACACCACCAAAGCATAATGTGATTTGTTCCAGGGAAGGAACAATCATGTTCTGGATGAAGCAAGGCTAAAACATCTCTCTGTGTGGCCAAGAAAACTACATGGACATCTCTGCGAAGCCACCGGGGGTTATACTTGGCTGGGGGATGTCTTTATCGTTTTAACAATTCCTCTTCTCCACTTCAAAAAGTCTTCCAAATTTTCTGAATTTTCAAACTCTTCAGTATATTCCAGGGGAAAGCATAATGTTTCCTCTTTCAGGAAGGTGACCAGGTTGGGAGCAGCTAGACCTTACTTCAGGTAGCAGCC